TGCGTCGCCGTGTGTGTGCGTGTGTGTGTGTGTGTGTGTGTGTGTGCTGCGTGTGTGTGTGTGTGTGGCGCGGCAGTGGTAGTGGTGCGTGCGTGTGTGCTGGTGTGCGTGTTGTGGTCGTGCGTGCGTGTGTGTGCTGTGCGTGTGTTGAGGGTGTGTTGTGTGTGTATGTGTGTGTGTGTGTGGTATGTGTGTGTGTGTGTGTGTGTGTGTCGTCGTGCGGCGATGCGTGTGTGTACGTGGGCGTGGCGTGTGTGCAGCACCGTGTGTTCTTACGTGACGCGTGAGTAGTGTATGTGCGGGGTCGGTGTGTTTGTGTGTGTGTGTTGTGTGTGTGTGGTGTGTGTTGGGTGTGTGTGTGTGTGTGCGTGTGTATGTGTGTGTGTATTGTGCGGGCCGTGGTGTGTGATGGCGCATCAACGGCGTCTGGTGTTCAGCGTGCAAATATAGCAGGATGAATCTTCCGGCGTTTAGTATTAAAATACGTGTCATTCTATGAGATTGATCACTTTAACTCTTAATATTGATGATAGGACATATTACAAATGATAATACTAAACAATGAACCTAGGTCATGGGGAATCAGTTTATTTCACTTTTTATGCCTTTAAACGCGGTTGTACCGTCAGGTAAAGGGTGTTCAATACAAGGCTACGAGACAACTGGACAATCTGAGTTGATGAGCATCAAAAACACATTCGAATACATAATGCGACAGACATAAACCAATATAGCATGTTATATATCCTGTGGTATATGGCTTACGACGGTTAATCTTATTCTGTGCAATGTTTTTTTAAAAACTTTTTTCTCCCCCACGCCGGGGCCATGGAAAATGGTTAAAATTGGGGCAAAACAAAACAGAGAGAGAGAGAGAGAGAGAGAGAGAGAGAGAGAGAGAGAGCGAGAGAGAAGATCCTTCTAGAGGCCGTTGATTTGTATAGTACTGTTGAGTTTGAATTAGGCAGTGATTCATTTATATCCCCATATACTGATTCGAAATCGTTTTCCGTACAAGCTTCCAGCGAGTAAATGTTAGCGTAACTGGATATAATGTAAATTGTTTAGCCTTCATGATCAATCCCGGTCACAACTTAAATTAAATCATATATTTCCTTAAGCACAAAGAGCGCCGCTCTCGCCTGGCGTTTAAAATAGCAAACCATACCGCACCCAATGATCGGCGCACATAAGTGCGTCGAAAAGCGTTGTCAATTTGGCATCGGTGTCTTTTGTGCCGGCGTCGCGGGGAAATCGCGCCTAATGGACGAAGTTAAAGGGGCGGGGACTTCGCCACGTGCGGCCTCGCGGGCCGAGTGCGCAAAAAATTCGGCTAATCCCGCATTCACGGAGGTTAATTAAGATCGTAGAGGGCGGTTTCCGCCGCTACACCCCGCCCACAGCAGTCAATTACCCGACGGCGCACGCCAGCCACGCCTGCGTGCGGTGCGCAAACAAATGCGGCACTAGCACGCAGGCGGTACAATACATCCAGCGGTGGCGGCGGCGGCGGCGTATATATAAGCGGCAGAGTTCGGCGTGCGGCGTGTATGAGATGACGCGCGCGAAGATCGACGTCTCCCCGTACGACAGCGCACATACTGAGCTCACACTCACGCCCGCGCCTCCCCCTAAACTCAGACCCACGTCCGCGCGCTACCACGCGTCTCCCATGTGAATCCTAGCCTATCTCTTACGTCGGACTCTGTAGAGAAAAGATCCTATCGGCTTAGCTCTATCGGCTTATCCTTTAGCTCTATCGGCTAAAGAATAATACGTAGCGACAGTGTACGCGTGCCGCAAAAACGCGAACTTCACACTTCCATGAGCCGGAGCGAGATATTTCTCGGACAGCAATTGCAGCAATAAACGGAGAAATACACAGAGAGGAAACGTCGTTAGAGGTTTGCACTGAAGACGGACGAACACAAACGCGCGATGTCGCGATCGTTCCTAGTCGACTCGCTGATCTTTAAGCACAAGCCGTCGCCGTCGGTGAGCCAGCAGCACCACCAGCAGCAACAACAGCCGCCGCCGCACGAGAAGTCGCTACCGGTGTCGTCGATGACGCAATTCCACGAGCAGATGCATCCGATCCACTGCTTTCCACGCAAGGCGTCCGACATCATGGCCGGCATGTGCTGCCCGCTGTGCGTGCGCCTGCCCGTAGCCTCGCTGCCCGTGTCCTTACCATGCTCGGTCGCCGGAAAGACGACGTCGAACGCGATGACCGACGTCAACGCATCGCTAGGCTTCAGCGATCATCGGCGGAGTCTGCTTGGCCTGCCCGCACAGTCTCCGCTGCCGACGCGCACTGCCGATACGCCGTCACCTCCTCACTATAGAATGATGGACCCGCGCCGACTGCACTATCTGGGACAAGTCGGTAGGTGACACTCTATGATCCAGTTCGGATGTAAACTCTAATATACTATAGTGTAATATGTAATCACTCTCTCTCTCTCTCTCGCCATCGGCTTCGCTCTCTCTCTGCTCTCTCTCTCTCTCTCTCTCTCTCTCTCTATCTATATTCATTATAATATATGTTTATATATATATATATATATATATATATAAATTTATATATTTATATATATTATAAATATATTTATATATATATATAAATATAGTATATATATATATATATTATATATATATATGAATATTTAATATAATTTGTTTTGGATTTATCGCTCTCATGACATGGAATGAGAAACATGTTGATATATTTAGCGTAATGGCGGTGGTCTATCACGCTATTTATCTTCCTGATGAATCAACACTCATGCACGATAGTTATTGTTGTTTGTAAGATTGTCTATTCGGATTATGCAAGCCATAAAAAAAAACGAATAACAGAGTTGCCAAACCTTGCGAGGAAACTTAAAATTTAGTATTAATACTACAGCGATATATTTATAAGCACGTGTATTTATGACTATAATATACTAGCATGGTTTTCTTCTTTTCTGTAATTTAAATCTGTGGAGAAAATGCAGATATTATCAATGACGTATCAGGTATAGCGTGCACTTTATATCACGAATAGTTAATATATTTAACCTGCCTTCATATCCCATTATTGTTGAGAAAAACTCTAGTCCTGATTCAACCATTATTAGTTTCATTTGCGATTACGGCCACTAAGCTGTAAAATGATTGTATGCCCTACTGAATATTATGAAAGCAGAGTTAAAGAATTCCTGTTTAATGAGGATATAAAAATGAGTTCGTGAGAACTAAATGAACCCTATTTCTTATTTCCAGATTTATACGGTTTCTGGTCGTAACGTCCCATAGCGTAATTCTCGAGATGTCACATAATAATTTCTTAATGATTATTGAACAAAACTCGCACGCAATGCACAGAAAAGAACTAAAACACAAAGGTCTCTCTAACGGCGCGGAACATTCGCTCTCTCTAGTGATTATATTAGGATACTTGTGCGGGTAGAAGCTGCGTGAACAACTCGCGCGAATGACGCGCCTTTTTAAATGTCCTTTCTTTATATTCGAGGTAGTGGCTTGAAAACACGGTCATTGACGGATCGCGTCACTCTAGATCAATTCTTACGCGTCCGAGTGTGCCGCACTTCACCCCGCGTGCGGCAGCGCATACACTTACTACCATCTGCCTTGCTCGACGCCCATATTCGCTTCATCGGATACATAATGTACTCACGGTGTTACACAGCAAAGCGCCGTGCATTACCGCGCTCGGCATTATAGAGCTCCCGAAGTGCTGTCCGTGATGTGTATTGGTGCTAGGGACGAATGCAGGGATGACGTGCTGACATATGCCCGATATTGATAGGGACAGCCCAGAGGAGTACGGGTGGCGTAAGTCTTCCGATGCGTTAGCAGCTGCTGCCAAGGCCGCTCGACTCGGCCAATTGGCCTCGACTGTGCCGGCAATTCACGAAAACTCGTTCCTTTTGAAGCGATCTCACGTATAATTTGAATACATTAGTTTGTAAATAAGCGCCGGATTCCACTATGATGCACTGAGCCAACTGTTGTGTGTGTGTGCACGCAGCGTGTTTTGTGTGTGTGTTGTTGTTTGTGTGTTGTGTGTGTGTTGTGTGTTGTGTGTTGCGTCGCCGTGTGTGTGCGTGTGTTGTGTGTGTGTGTGTGTGTGCGGCGTTGTTGTGTGTTGTGGCTGTCGTGCGTAAGTGTGCGTCGTGGTTGTGTGGCGGTGCGTGGTGTGTGCGTGTTTGTGTGTGTTGTGTTTTGTGTGTGTGTTGTGTGTTAGTGTGTGTGATGGTGTGTCGCGTGCTGCGTGCGTGTTGTCGTGGTCTGCGTGTGGCGTGTGGTGTCACAACTTACGTGTGTCTATACGCGTGTGTGTGTGTGTGTGTGTGTGTGTGTGTGTGTGTGCGTGCGTGCGTGTGTGTACGTGGGCGTGTGCGTGTGTGCACACACGTGTGTCTACGTGCGCGTGAGTATGTGTATGTGCGGGCGCGTGTGTATGTGTGTGTGTGTGTGTGTGTGTGTGTGTGTGTGTGTGTATGTGTGTGTGTGTGTGCGTGTGTATGTGTGTGTGTATGTGCGGGCACGTGGTGTGTATGGCGCACACGGCGTCTGGTGTTCAGCGTGCAAATATACGGAGAATCTTCCGGCGTTTAGTATTAAAATACGTGTATTCTGTGAGAATGGATCACTTTAACTTTAATTATTATGATCAGACATATTACAAAGCCGATATACTAAACAATGACTAGGTCATGGGGATCAGTTTATTTCACTTTTTATGCCTTTAAACGCGTTGTACCGTCCAGGTAAACGGTGTTCAATACAAAGGCTACGAGCAACTGACAAATCTGAGCTGATGAGATTCAAAAACACATTGGAATACATATGCGACAACATCAAACCAATATATCATTTATATATCCTGTGGTATATTGGCTTACCACGGTTAATCTCTATTCTGTTGCAATGTACTCTCCACGCATGAATTAAATTGAATAACAAAACAGAGTAAAAAATTGAGTAAAAGTAAAGAATAACAATGACAACTAGAGCACTCGGAGAGCACAGACCTCTGCCAAGGCAGCTGAATTCTCTCAATGTGAAATTTTTCATTAATTAATTAATTAATTAAGTGGAAAAATTAATTAATTCATTAATTCATTAAATAATTAATTGGATCCGGATTAGTGCGAGCGTGCAGGTGGGGGAGGACTGTTGTTGCCCCTTAGCCTGTGGTTGCGTGTTTGTAAGTCTACAGCCAGCGCACCTAGCGGAAGTGAACTGAAACGTGCATGGTAACACACAAACCCACAAACACACAAACCAACACTCAAAGACACGCCGGTAAAAACATAACCTCCGCCAAGCCCCTGGCGGAGGTAATAACAGTATCAGTATCAGTACCAATAAAAGTAACAGTTACAGTAACAGTAACAGTAACGGTAACGGTAAAGGTAACAGTAACAGTAACAGTAACAGTAACAGTAACAGTAACAGTAACAGTAACAGTAACAGTAACAGTATCGGTAACAGAAACAGTAACAGTAACAGTAACAGTAACAGTAACAGTAACAGTAACAGTAACAGTAACAGTAACAGTAACAGTATATACAGTAACAGTAACATGGAACAGAAAGACCACATTAATGGTTTTATATAGAATCAGGAACGTTCAGACGACAAGAGCTATGAAGTTACACGCGTTCACGTAAAGCCATGAAGGCTTCCCAGGGACCCACTCTTTCGTAGCTTGCACATCGATCTCGCCCAAGACGGCAACAATTTAATGTAATAAGACGCTTTCAGTGCGTTACGAATATCTGCGAGCGGTTTAGCGACAATTAAAAGGTAACGTTTCTCAACACGCCGTAACCTTTTTACGGTCGTCATTTTTTTACTGCTCAGCGCTGGCGAACGGAATCGCACAGCGACGCTAGCGATAGAATTGCCTACAAATGCAGGATAAAATAGAAAACAATAAGCGAAAAGTAGATACGGATACATTTGCTGTGCAGCTTGCGTGCAGTTGAATGTTGCCCGGTTCCGTTGTATGCGCTCTGAGAGAGAGAGAAAAAAAGAAAAAAGGAGAAACTACTTGCAGTGTACATTACTCGTCGCGCGAAGCAAGAATCCTTTTGTCGAACTATTTTATATTATTTCGCAGAAAAAATACTTCGGTTATCAAGAATAAGACGGCCCAACTCAACGAGCGCACATAGCCGCTAAAATAGTGTTGTTAGGAGAATTAATAAAATATTACCTACGCTGTAAGTAGGATAGGGGCATCACTTCCGCCACACGTTGACCACGTGATATCCAGTATAATACAGCACAATCGTTGCTGCAAATTACATGCCATCGACAGCGATCATATGTAATATACATAATTAATATATAATAATTGATTCGCACACCACGATTTTGAGGCGTATGCGCCAGCGTACATATAGTTACTGTGAGTAAAATGAGATATATATCATTACTTTTAACTAAACGACGAAATCACGAAGATACTTGCGCTGTACCTGTTTTTTTTTAAAGTTTATAGCCGTCTCACTTGATACAGGGGGCAAGACTATTTATCTACACAGCGTGTGCGTAAGTGCTGCCAGTACACGCACAGGCAATTTGTTGGGAATGAGAGTTCAAGAAAAACAGTCGTGTCAAGGATGTAGACAGAGCCTAATACCCAGAAGCCGGTTCTGTGCTTATGTATACCCACGCGTCGCTCGTCGCATCGTTTCGTAAGCGATTTACCCGTCCACGCTCTACATTTCAATTGCAGACGAGGGGTTAAGCGTATGCTACTGCATTTTTTTTGCAGCCTAACAGAATCTACTTTCTTTACTCTGCGTGCACATTTTACATGTTAATTCTTCGCGTTAGAAGATTATATTCGATGGACGATAAACGCGTAACGAGCGCGTACTCTAATTGGCTGAACGTGCGACCCAGTAGCGACGGAGAAAATCGAACATTATCCATTAGTGAAGTCAGTCGAGCCGCGCTGCCAAATAGCGAACGAGGATGCGTGGTGCCCGATGGGTGTATCTGCAATTAATATTACGCCCGCTCCGCCTAATTAAAATACTAGCATTATCTCTGACATTATATTCTTCCTTTCACCTCATTACATGTATATCTATGCATACGCATCCGCACTCGCCTCGTCACACGGATGGACCCAAGACGTGCTTTAGTAATCCGAACATTTACAATATAAAATTAGATATAATAATAACATAATTAGATGCTATGATCGCTAGATGGCAATTCGATGCGCACCATGGGTGAGCATTCCTTCAGTCATCGCTCGTCATATGAATAATTTCAGTCCCCTAAAGTTAGTCTCGGTAACTTGATCATGGGCGATTCGTTATATTTCCTGTTGTTTTATCATTGATTACCATTGTTTCACTATTGTTTACCGCTGTTTTTTTTCTCTAGGCATGAATAACTTCAGTAACTTGGGTGCGCTCGGTAACCTGGGCACGGGCGGCAGCGTTGATGACTTAGCGAGCAGTAAGCGCATACGGACGGCTTTCACCAGCACGCAGCTGCTCGAACTCGAGCGCGAATTCAACGCCAACATGTACCTGTCGCGCCTGCGTCGCATAGAGATCGCCACCTATCTGAACCTCTCCGAGAAGCAGGTGATTAACATGTTACATATCTATGTATATACTTACATGTGCATGGCGTGCGCGTGGCTTTGCACGAGTTGATAAATATTTGCACTAATCACGCACGCACAGCCGCCCCTGCGGCGCGCTCTCCCCTTCTCTGTCTTACTCCCCTTCTGTCTCCCATTCCCCTTCTCTCTCTTTGGTGAGGGTGAGTGGTATGGAGGTAGTAGTAGGTGGGTGAGTGGTATGAGAAGTAGTAAGATTGGAGAGTGAGTATATAGAGTAAGAGTAGGTAAGATCGGGCGGGTCAGGGCCGAACACCCGGTGTAGATCAAAAACAAAAGTCAAGGTATAGAATAAGGGTGTTTAAAGTTTAATTGACGAGCTTTCGAGATTACATCTCTTCATCAGGTCAGCAGACATTGAATAGAATCAATAATGCAAAGGAGCTCGGTTAGCTTCGTGTTGTGTTTTTTGTGTTGTTGGTGTGATGTGTGTATGGGTGTGTGTTGTGTTTTGTGTGTGTGATTGTGGTGTGTGTGTGTGTGTGTGGTGTGCTGTGTGTCGTGTCGTTTTTTCGTGCGTGTATTGATACTATATATATATGTGCCGTGTTCTTTTGTCTGTCGCGTATTCATTGGAACCGCGCGAATTGTGTGAATCATTCATTTTTGATTATCTATAACGCATTGTATTTGTTTTTGATTATTTAATTCTATTCCAATGTCTGCTAACCTGATGAAGAGATGTAATCTCGAAAGCTCGTCAATTAAACTTTAAACACCCTTATTCTATACCTTTACTTTGTTTATATATATATATATATATATCTCTTTGGCTCTTTCTCGCGCTCTCTCTTTATCGCTTTCTCTCTTTCTTTCTCTCTCTCTCTCTCTCTCTCTCTCTCTCTCTCTATTACTGTCTCTTTCTCGTGCTCTCTCTTTCTCGCTTTCTCGCGCTGTTTCTCTATATCGCTCTCTGTCTGTTTCTCCTTCCCTCTTATTTTCGCTTGCTTCACCTTTATTACAGCGGTTAAACTGTGTCGTATTATACACGTGGCCGTCATTACGCGTGATATTCTCGTTTACATGCCGCGAACTTATTTATGGTTCTTTAGATTTAATTACTATACTGTCGGGAGTATATAACAGGGTAAATAGCATAATAAACATATTTATTTATATATTTACTCCTGGTTGTATTATTCTGTCGTCGATGCGGGTGTACCTCGTGTGGGTATATATGCAGTATAATATATAGCGGTATAGGAGCGGTATGTGTTATTTAGGCTATAGTGAGTACACGCTATATAATGAATGCAATCGTCCTATGAAGCGATACGTTTCCAACGGCAAAGTCAAGCGCGTTACTTGCAAACTAATATAGAGTAAATGCTATTGGTTAAGGGGGATGCTGTATCAATAAATAGCCATATTTACTCAGCATTTAGAAATGGATGTATACCAGCGCGTATTTATCTAGCCATATGCAGGTTATCATTAGCGAATGTATAAGTACGTCGTGGCAGTAGTTCGATCGCCAAATGATGCAGCATGTCTTGCCGTGTCACGAGCGCCACACTCACCAAGCGTGTCTAACTAATACAGGCGCTGCTGCATCAGCCGAAGCTGTATATATATGATTGCCTGCTCGCGTCTTGCCTATCAGCTCGCGCGACACGATGCCAGGCGTGACTGGCCAATTATCAGTGACAAGCCATGTCGCCGCGTTTAGCGGACGTAAAAGGAAGCGAGATGAGCCCGCGTGCACGCGGCAAAACAGCAGAGTTTTATGTATATACCTATAGTGTATAAGTTGGTTGGGAGAGAAACACGGGAAGGAACGATAATTATTACAAACGATATATATATTTAGTGCATCACGTGATAAATCGTTGAAATTCCATTGGATAACGTCGCAGGTACTATGAAGCAATAGTGCCTGCCTGAGCGGGCACTATCGCTTGCGCGACGCATTGTTATTATAACGCATTGTGTTCACGTCACGAATCTTCTTCGTCTTGGCGCCACGCAAGAGTTTCGAATTAATGGCGATTGTGTTTGTGTTGAGCGTTTTGTTACATCGAATGCACCGGCAAATTAGGGAGTATAAAGAAGGTATATAAGCCTGAAAAGTAAACAGAAACACTAATTGTATTTTCATACATTTTATTTTTATGTACAAATAACACACAAATATACTACTTGCTGGTGCCTAGAAATTCGTGACGTAGACAGTTTAATACAAATTGAAATTGTTCGTTTAAGAAACTTTGTCTTATTCACTTCATATTTGCAAGTAGATGCAAAGTCATGTGATTGCAGCTAAAAACATTAATGCCTGTTGTTGGGGTCACTATGCTCTCATAGTGTTGCTTTTGGGAAGGAATAGTGCCCTCACTATCGGCTCGGCACTATACCTTCCCTCAGCAAACACTATGAGAGCATAGTGCCCCCAACAACAGGCATTAATATATGAATATAATAAAATTGTAAAACCGAATGACTGACGCGTGCTAGACTATTTATAGCAAATTTCAGAAACCTTAAAGAAATGTCACTGACAAAAAAGCTAACACTGACTGGACAAAACTGCGGTGACTAACCTTTTCATGGAGAAGTAATTCTAATGTAGCTGAATGTTAGGTGATGTGTTATTGCGTCAATGTAGCCCACACACCCACTCACATACATACACACACATACATACACACACACACGCACGCACGCACACACACACACACACACACACACACACACACACACACACACACACACACACACACATATATATATATATATATATATATATGTACATGTGAATCTTGTACATGGTTATTGTACATAGATAGCCATACTCCTGTATACGTGACGCTGTGATGGAGAATGATCGTCGTACTAACGCAACAGCTATCTCATTGCAGGTCAAAATCTGGTTTCAAAACCGACGAGTCAAGTACAAGAAGGAAGGTCAGGGTGACGCTCGCGACAAATGTCGATGCCTGCGCACGTGCTCGACACGTGGTAGCGACAAGCACCGCCACGATCACCATGACGACAGCACGACGAAATTCAGCGACGCGACCACTCTGCCGGACGCCATCTCACCGTCTGATATCAGCACCGACCGTGATGACGGTGACCAAGTGAACAGCGACGATGAGCGTATGATAGATCCGTGAGTCGCAAGAGGATTGACAGAGCGACAAAATCCCCGATAGATTGCTATCGTGCGAAAATGGTGGCCTAGTAATCACTAATCATAGGAGCCTGATAAACGAACCCGACGTTGTCGGATGCGGAGAAGACTTCGGTCGGAATAGTCGCAGACTTCTGTAGTGCTACGGCATAGACGCATACAGACAGATAGAAATTAACTTCAAAATTATTCATTGATCTTGTCAGGTATAACAAGAGGCACCGAGAACGTATAGTAATTTCCTTTATTGTCAAACGTGTTTGATCATGTATTGTCTCCACGTACCTACTGTCTTTCGATCGACGGAATTACAATATTTTAATAATAATCGTCATCAACGAGGTAGTTGTCTCTGAATGTTGTATTCGTGGATGCTTGTTGAATTGGTCCAAAGATCTCATGTACAGTAATAATATCAACAAAACAATTTTAACACCGGTTTCACTTGAAGAAGCTTCGTAATTTATATTTAGAACAACCCCAAAACTACCATCTGTTTAACATGATGTTAAGCGAGTATACATTTTAGTACCTGCTAAAAAAGTTCGAGTTGTTATATTACTCATCGGTTGTATCGAGACCATATATACTCATCGAAATCAAGAGTTCGTATCAGAGACAATAAGCCCTAGATCGTTAGTTTTCATAATGACAGTTTTTGTGTGACCAAAGTATTTAATGAGATAGAAACCGTGTAAAATTATAGACCGTGTTTAAACCGCTGAACAATGGAATGTAATTAGATAAAATATTGAATCAACCCCGTAGATATTGCTTAGTTTTTTTAAGGGTAAACACCGACAATAGGAGTTGTGATTACATATTCTATGGCAAAAACGCGTTAACTACCAGAGCTGTCGGCGGTAGATTCGTAGGCCTTGCTGCGTAAATGCAACATGTAACAGTGAATCACACAAGATGCTGGTGAACATAATAGTTATAAATGCTGTAATATTTACATCGAAGCTTCGGCCGATATCAGCACCACATTATAAATATTTCAAATGTATTTATTCTTGTATGATCGGGCATGGCAAGATAGTTGGCTTGAATCTAGTTAGCGCTTATTCTCTCGTTACATTATGCCTTTCTTGCATTATTTATTCAAGAAAGATTATCATTTATTCGTTTATAAAAAGGTCACCGGCTTAGCATAAACAATTAACGAGAGGTTTATAAAACGCTTTGAGCGGTAGGAAACTTTCTCTAGCGGAGTTTATCATGACAGTGTAAATACGTGTATATTAGATGGAGAAGTAGTTAGAATACACAATTATAAGGGTGTCCATAAACATTGTAAATGTTGTTACCGGTTTATTGCTGCAGCACGCAGTTCCCAAAGAATATAGTCATGTTTGTATGCAATAATCTATGTGTGTTGTACAGTTGATTTTTCGTGCAATAAACTCTCTTCTGTAAGACAAAATAATTAGTAATATTAATTATCATGAGTGAATGTCTTTTTTATCGAAAATATTTCATAATTTATTAAAAGTATAATAAACTATTTAAACTAATAAGAATCACACGCTCTAAAGGAAACTAAATACGATTTCTTATGCCACACGTTGTAAGCAATTTATACACACGGCATTGATAACAACAATAATATTAATGATAATAATAATAATAAAATGAAAATTAGAAGAAGAAAACGAAGAAGAAGAAGAAGAAGAAGAAGAAGAATAGTGATAAAGACAAGCAATGAAGAGGAAAGTCTAGTTGTAACCGTAACGATGAAAATGAAAACAAAAACGACAAATACATCAACACTTAGAGCGAGGACGACAATAGCGACCGAATATAACAACAATAGGATAAATTGAGAACCGATATAAGCATCAATAATTTATGGTATAACAGATTACCGTTCATAGAAGAATAATTGAGGCGGTTGATCAGTGATGACATAAAATTGTGTTGTAGTTGTTGTAGTGATTAAGCCTGAAGCAATTATGAATCGCCTCAAATACCTAAATATATCAGCAGATATTCTAGAATATATATAAATGAACACAAAGTAAAATAAGATAGACCTCTCACTTATCACGCGCTTCGTTTGCTGTTTTTGTTACCTGTTTTCATAGTCACCCTGCATAAATCTCACCCGATATCCTTCCGTGCATTCTCCTTTCATTAGAAGCCAGGTACACGCGCCAGTGCTGTCTTTTTTGGTATCGATCGTTGTTGCGCCTTCCTTTGCCATTTTGCGTCTATTATCCGAGCATATCTATCAATCGCACGAGACAATTGAATTTCGCGTCGACGATGGGCCATCCTATTGTTTGCGTAAACGATCGGAAAGTTAGTCATAACGTAGGCGTGTGATGCCTTGCGCAAACGGTTATCTCTGTCGAGGACACGTTCCCTTTATTTGCGAGATCGAAGAGCTACCGAAATGCGGCACGAAATAGCGGCTTTGAACTATAGCATTGGAATATATTAGGTAGAATAATAAAGCTTACTGTCACTGATTTCTATTGCGTTCAATCGGCAACGGTGGCGATGGCGTCAGCAGGTCACGATATCACACACCTATGATTCCAGCACGCGACGGAATACGAAAAGCCCGGTTAGAAAATGTGTATATTAAAAATAAATAAAAGGTTATCGTGAAAAGAATTTAATTAACGTGATTAAAAAATAGAAACAAACAAAGTAAAAATATATAATCAGTTAGCGGGGAGGATGCCCGCATGTCCACGAATATATCGCCGTTGCAATACAAAGCTACACGTGCGGCAGTGGGTGACGAGCTTTAGCAAGTATATCTGTCTCATCAGGTCAATCCCACAACGAGGATGTAAACTTGTGATCTCCATTGACGTTAACCGCCCGCATGTATACCTGCATCCTTATCGACATACACGGGCACACGTGCGCCCGGGAGGAATGAATTCTACATATACACACAAGGAATTTTAAATGCGCGACAATCAATTTCTATTAACTTTTCCATGAAATATTAAACATGTAGATTTCGGGATGAACGGATGTGCACACACGCGTGACAATGGCGCGCCGGGCAACAACGTCGCGCACAACAGAACCGCATCCGTTTCGATAATAGTGCAATTTAATTACACTTATGCTGCAAGCACGGCGCAGACGGTGGCCGAGACGCCACGATAACTCGAATTTCAATATTATATTCGCCGAACATGGCCGCTCGCCGAGTCGATTAAATATTTAGTGAGATATTTCTACGGGATAAGAACGGATGGCGGTATATTATGACGCGCGGGCGATGCGTGCGCGGCTGAGTGGAGGACAGAGAGCCGCAGTGGCATGTGTAGTCAAATAAAATTGTTGGTTCTCTAGACATGACAAAACCATAAATTCCGCCTGAATGCTGCTTGCATGGCTTTTAGCGTTCATGAAATAAAGAAGAGCACCTATCAATTTGAGGGAAAGTGCTCTTTTGGCCTCTCTCTCAGTGCAAGGTGTATATAATGGACCGTGATTGCCCATTCACGGCAATGCCTTATGTAGCGTGGTGCGTGTGCTTTTATAGTCTTTTAGAAATAAATCATGTGAACTTGTCTCGTTGTCAAACGATCTGGATCTATATGCGTTCCGGGAATGAGCTTTCGGGCTTTTAGTATTCGCCAACATAGCTGTTTGTCAGCGGTTTCAACGTCATGTAAAATTAACAAAGAACGTTTTACTGCCCTCTATTCTATGAATGATAAGGTGAAATCGATCTAGTATGCGTGTGAAGAGTGCGCGGACCTGTGTGCGTATGTGCGAGCGTGCGTGTGTGTATGCTCGCGTGCGTACGAATGGGTGAAAGCACATGAGTACTTGCTCTTAACATTCGGAAGCATATGTGAAATCCTTAGTGTTATTTTACCGCCAAATTTATTGCTTTTTGCGATATATCTTACTTGCTAGACCGCCCGCCGGCATGTTCTCCCTCC